TTGATAAAGAATCGAGTCACAAGTATAGAAGTATAGTAGTCCTTTATTCAGTGACAACAACAAACCACTTGTTTGTTCCATCCCAGTTGCCATTCCATGCAATATTTTTGACTTGTTAAAGATCAGGAGTTACATGTGGAATCTCCCAGTGAAGTGCTGCTATCTGGTCACAAGGCCTCTCACAGGGGCATGTATCAAAAATACAATTTTGGAGAAGTGGTTTCAACCACGTGTCTCAGTTTTCCCTGGGAATTACTGGAGCAAGTAAGAAAGCATCTACCTCTATTATTATTCTTGTGCATAAGCAAGCAAATATTTAGGCTATTTTACGTGGGAACCTTTCCTCCTGCTTGAAGTGCAGTGCTTCCAAGTGTGGTCAATGCAGCTGTTGTGGCCAGAGCAGCTCAGCCTCCTCTCCTGTTTCCAAGTGCTCACAGGCAGGCAGCTGCTTCACCACACACTGTTTGCAAGGACATGTGCTCATCTGATTAGGCTACTAAAAATATCCAAATACTTGCCTAACACTAACTTTTCCACACAGCCAACTGCTGGAGAAAAAAGAATGCTGAAAGACACAAACAGGGCAGAGGCTGCTCACAGTAGAGTCTGAGAGATGACTGAATGAAAGTGCTGAGAGCTCACATTTTATAAAGCTCTGTGCCATGATGCACTGATTAATATTGTCACTACCCACTGAACAGTTGCTTATTCTCATACATCTTTTTGTTTTGATAACCCTTTCTCATTTAGGGGTTAGGGTTCATTTTTATTACAGTTTGTAGCAGTAATTATATCCTGAAATCAAAACTGCCAGGTCACAGGAAAAACATTAGAAAAGTCAAGAAGTCAAGTGCAGCAGAACTTGATATAATTAATAATTCTGCTAAACAGTGAGCCAGCACAACAGCCTTAGAATTCTAGATCCCAAACCTCTCAGATTTCTTGTTTCTCAAACAAAAAACATCACTCTATTTCACTTAGTGGAATGATCTGTAAACAACTCAGTCACACTTCCTCATCTCTTAAACCTGATCAGGTAAATCTACATAGAGAAAACATAGATCATTTCTCAAATGATTCACATACTGGACAAGACTCTTTTTCTGCAATAATTTACTTCCTGTATGAGGAACTTACTCAAAACCATCACAGGCTGTCAGAAGACTTTAATTCTCCACAGCACACAGTCATCAGGGAAGTGTTTTCCTTTCAGAGGAGAGAGAGAAGCCCAACTTACTGCTCCATGTCCAGCATTTCACAACTACTCAGTAAGAGAGGATTGCCATTCTGGAAATGCCAGGAGCCAGGACATGAAACCACTCACTTCCTCCTCCTCTGCAGCATTTCACTTCTTTAACTTGCAAAGTGCCTTGATACATCTTGGCTACAAATAACTAACAAACAGCTTATGTGTGCAAATCACCATTTTGTCAAAAAATTAGTAAAATAATAAAGTTATGAACAAAGGGAGGAGGGTTTCTACAAACATTATTGAAAAGAAACAAACATTTTCATTTAAAGCTTTTTATTGTCACATACATACCATTTCATTTTTTCACTCTGAAAACCATTTTTTATGAGTGGCCTGGTATTTTAATGATCAGAACATGTCTAACCTTTGGAAAGATATAAAATAATATGCAACACCTCAGTCAGAACAGAGGAGGTTTTGTATCAAATGAACTACCAAGTTTAGATTAGTGACTCAAAGGATCAAATGCTACAAAATTATCTGCAGAACAGCTACCACCAAGATCCAAGGCATGTTCATAAAATCATAACGTGTTCATAAAATGTTACTGTTATTTGATTGTGATATTATGTGTTATTGATATTGTGATTTTATGAACATTATTATAAATGTTCATAAAATCATAATTCTGGGCTGGGAGGGACCCCAAGAGATCATTGAGTCCCACTCCTGGCCCTGCACAGGACACCCCAAAAATCCTCCCACGTACATTCAGAGAGAGCATTTTCCAAATTCTCCCTGAACTCTTCCCTGAGGAGCCTGTTCCACTGCCCAACAGCCTCTGGGCACAGAAGCTGTTCCTGATATCCTGCAGCTCCCCTGACACAGCTTCACACCATCCCCTGTTCCACTGCCAGGAACCCTCTCCCTGTGCAATCACTCCGTGTGTTCCCCAAACACAGCCCCTCACCTGCTGTGGCCCCCAACATCTCACCTCAGTGTTTCAAAGCAGTTTCCTGAGGCAGACCTGCTTCACCTCATGCTCTCTGGGGAGAATGGAGCAATCCCTCTCCCTGCAACTTGCCATGAGTTCATCTTTAATACCCTTACACCATCCTGTCACCAGAATGTGCCATGAGGGTTTTAAACACTGAGCTCAAAATGCTGGGATTATGGCTGCAAGCAAAAACGCTTAAGGAGAAACCTGCTTGAACAATGCACACTTACAATCACAAATGCCACCTCATTTTTAAGCTAAATAACCACATTATTCCTTGCTTGACTAGAAAATATTCTGGAAGCAGAAAGAATAATCCATTTCTTCATTTTCTAGAGAAAATGTAAGTGAAGTGCAGAGGAGAGGGAGAGTGGGACAGGCAGATGGTGGTGGAAACCAGACACAGATGGACAAATCTGTCCAATCAGAATTTCCTAATTTTGGTCAACTGTACCTAACAGCTATCCTACACAATGGCTGCCCCAATACAATTTCAATTTCTCTCATTATTTTTTCCATAGATATTATTGGATGAAGTGTACAGAACCAAACACTGCTGAAAGCCTGCTCTCCAGGTGCTTTCAAATGCCTGTTTCCAGTGGGAAATGTGGGGTGTAAAGGCTCAAAGTTACCATTACTGAGCAGTGTGAAACACATTTCTACCCAAACAACAAAGCCAATCTGTGCTAACACAAAACCAGACTATTCTTCCAGCACTCCACATCCTTCAAACTCAGCTGCTTCCACACAGACTGAGAAAGTTCTTGGGCTTCCCAGCTGCCTTTGCCAGCACATGTAACAGAACAGTTCCATGATCAGCTCTGGCACAGGTCAGCTGCCCTGATCCCACGGTGCCCAGGGTGGAGCAGATGTGGGCAGAACTCTCCAACTCTTCCCTTTCAGAGATGTGCCTGGCTAAGTCATGCTCTGCCTTCTCCAGGGCTCACAGGAACAAACAAAACAAATCCTCACAGCACACACTGTGACAAAACTAGGTTACATCTCTGCAACCATAAATGTATCTCCCCTCTGTATCTACATATTCCTACACCCACCTAGTCAACATCAGAATCTAATGGGCCCCATTTTGTGCAGAACTTATGTTTCATAAAAAATACTGGACATAAGTAACAAGATGGATTTCTCCCTGATTTATGTATCAAGCTGAAACTACTGAGAGGCCCACCAAAGTCCCTCTGTCACTGCCCTCCTCAGCTGGGCAGGGGACAGAATGTCATGGAAGGCTCATGGGAAGACATAAGGATAGGGGGACATCACTCACGTGTAATCTTTGCAGGCAAAACAGATTTGACGAGGGAAAAATTGATTTAACTTATTACTAATCAAAAATTAGAGCAGAATCATGGGAAATGAAAACAAATCTCCTCCCTGCCCTACCTGCGGCCAGTTCCTCACACCTTGTCCCTGCTGCTCCTTCCTCCTCAGGGGTTGGACTCCTCACGCTATTCCAGCATGGGGTCCCTCCCAAATTGTGCAACGTGATTCTTTCTCAAGGGCTGAGCTTCTTCATGAACTGCTCCACCCCGTCCCTTACTCCAACACAGCCCAATCTGTGCTCTGACAGGACTTTGATTACGTTTACTATCCAGCAGAAAATGCTGTTCTCCAAGTACATGGAGAGCTGTGTTAAAGGAATTTAACTGCACTTTGCTGCTCACATCCCCTTTGGGAGTGAACTTGTTGAAGCCACGTGAGTCCCACAGTTCAATAGTTCTTAAGGGAACAACACTGAGTCACACATTCAACATTGTTACTGTTTCTTGAAGCACCCGAAAATCTTCAAACCACGAGCACGGAAGGTAACAGTAAAATCTTAAGAAACAGCGCACACAAAGATACGCAAAAGCTAAAAAATAAGTTTAAGAGCTTGTCTAATCACAGAATATCACAGTTTCAATCGTGTTGGAAAAGGCCTCTGAGATCATCGAGTCCAACCTATGACCAAACACCCCCTTGTCACCAGACCACGGCACTGAGTGCCACGTCCAGCCTTTCCCTAAACACTCCCAGGCACCTCAGCACCGCCTGGACAGCCCGTTCCAATGCCCAATCACCCGTTCTGGGGAGGAATTCCTCCCAATATCCAGCCTAAACCTCCCCTGGCGCAGCTCAAGACTGTGTCCGTCTTTCCCATCTATTTTTTTCACAAAAAAGGCAGCGTACACAAGACGATGTGAATTCCCACAGGTTCCAATTACGGCGTTATGAAACACGCGCTGTCGGTACGAGGAACGGAAACAAAACACAAGGAGCAGCCCGGAGAGCTGCGCCGGCGAGAACCGGGTGCAGGA